CTAACAAGGTGATAAGAGTAGCAAGGCTCCGAGCAGCCTGCCTTATCACGATGATATTTATAACAAGGTGATAAGAGTAGCAAGGCTCCGAGCAGTCTGCCTTGTCACGACGATATTTCTAACAAGGTAATAAGAGTCGCAAGGCTCCGAGAAACCTTCCTTATTACCATCCGATCTTGATCTAATGCAAGACAGTGAATAGGAGGAGTTAGGCCTTCGAGGTCTGCCCTGTCACAAACAGACATCAATAAGAGATGGGCAAATCCCGAGTGGTCTACCCTATTACTGCTAACCTTCTCCATAAAGTTTGATCAATCGATTACAAACAGACCACTCCGATTCTATTAAGGAAGGGATAGTGAGAATTTTGGCCATAAGAGACTTGTCACTCTATTTTGGAAATGCTGATTTGACTTATATCATGAGACTTCTCCTTCAGATGGATTGACGATATTGCTTGTGTTCGTCAAGAAAGAACCAAGAATGAGACTTCAGGTAAGAGAGACTTATTTAGGACCACTGGGTTGTGTAAGCTGGATACGAACTCTAGACATTACCCAAGCCAATAGGGATAACAACCTGACGGTTAGATGAGGGTAGAGCCTAGACAGTGGATCACTGGTGAGCATCGATCTTTAGGTCACAAATCTAGAAAGAATCTTCTAGACCCCGGCATAGGAAAAATAATATTAAGTTTCTTTCGGATTGTGATGTGTCTACAGGGTTTCATCACTCTTGGAGAAATTTACGGAAGAAAGACGTAAGGGACTGCAATTCTGTTATCATTGGACAATAGGTCGGTAGAACTCCGACTCAACCTCCACATGGCTTGATACCCACGCCTAAGACAAAACCTAAAAGGGAAACGAACAAATTTTTCTCTGTATCTTAGCCTAAATTGTCCAAATCATCTCTCAAAGGTCTTTGCAAAGGGTGAAGGGCAGGGTAATAAGAGTCAAGAGTAGAAATAAGTGTTGTTTTCAAAGTTTTGGGGAGTGAGGGACTTGCTATGAATAGGTCAAAGGTTGACGTTTGTAGCGCATTTTGTGTTGTGCATCTGTACTCGTGTATGTGTTTTCTTACATATGCACAGGTGTTGGGCAATGAACTGTCTTTCTGAACTTTGAGATTATCTGGGATATTCGGACACGGGTGCACCATGATTGTGAAAGTGAGGTTCACCGCTCATTCGCTCCCTTGATATACATATGTACTTATGGATTCTGTTGAGATCTTGAAAAAGCGGGAGATTACAAAAGGGCTTAGACTTTGACTTTTCTCATGTGGTCAACAAGGGAATATAATTTTCATTATCATAATTAGCTAAGCGTGGAAGACTGTCGGAAAAAGGTCGACCTGATAAGATAGTCGGTCCGAGGGAGTTAGCACCTCGGGGCACGATATACGGGCCAGTTTTAAAGCGTTCTACCGCGCGTATGCCTATGCTACAACGATCGAGAAAACGCCCTCGGCTGACCTACCTCTGCGATTGCACGTAAAAACTTTCCCACGTGGGTCAGTAGCTCAGCAGGGATACGCCCACCTAAGGGATGGTGACAGCTCCCGCAGGTGGAGGTAAGTTGTACCTCGCGAGATCTCTAACTTGTCGTAGGGATTCGCGAGAGGTATAGCACTCGCGCACGGTCGGAGTGGTGTTTCGCTAAGGTGACCTAAGACTCCTGCGTGATACGACCGTGAGGTCCGACACAAGAACTACTTTGTGTCTGGGTGTGCGACTGTCGCGAGCGACAACGTGTTGACTCTGCTAAAAATATCCCTGACTTTCGATAGGTCTGCCTAGTGGAGTTGAAACCTGAGGTGGAGTAACTCCATCTCTTCCCTTGACACCATAGATCCTCTGTTTGAGAGCGAAGGTTCGGAGAGTCCCCCTTCTATGTTGCGCCCATCTAGAGTTTGCGTTGGTGATCTGTTGGCTCTAGCCTCCGAGGCTACGGGTTGTGTTTCCTCAGGAGGTAAGGCTACTCTAAGAAGATAGAGGTTGACTGGATAGATAAAGTTGTTGTTGACCAGAATGTAGTTTAGATTGTGAAAATTATTCTCCTGAGGGTTGGTACAGTCCTGAACATAGCCTCCGAGTCTAACCAGTCTCATGGTTGGAAAAACCAAAGGCATAAACAGTTCTCTTTCAACCAGAGCCATTGCTCCTTCGACACGCACAACCTCCCAGATGGTTGGATCCATGCTGACTCCTGCAAATGACAGTATGCACAATTAATCAGTCTGCTTTGATGTTATCTTTCATGATTTTTTTTTTTTTTTAATCCAAGATCAATAAGTGGTTCATTTCTACTGTCACTTAATAACCTATGATTGGTTCGTTGATCTAACTGTTGGGTAATTGTTTTCCTAGGCAGATCATACAAAGATTCCCACCCTATCCCCCCCCTCCTCCCCCTCCTTTTTTTTTTTTTTTTCCAGGTCCGTCTTCTTTTTCTCAGTTTTTTTTTTAATTATTATTATTATTATTATTTTTTTTTTATAACTAACTACCTGGTTCACATCATCATGCACCCGTTATTTTTTGTATAAGTGATTTTAATATGAGTGATGTAAAGCTTGCATAGATCGTCAAAACAAAGTAGCCTGTAAACCTTAGGTAAAGGGGGGGGAAGGGATGTAGAAACGAGGGTTAAACTCTTCAACAACATGCATTCATTTCTTTTTGGTGTAAGGCTGTATAATTCGTCAAAATAGAACTGCCTGGTTGGCCGTAAGCAGAGAAAGGGAAAAGGTTGATAAGCGAGGGGTTGCAACAAAACTATTCCGTCGAAGTTCAATTGACTCATCCTGGTTTCATCCTTTTTTTTTTTTTTTTTTTTTTTTTTTTTTTTTTTTTTTTT